GACGTCAGCTGTGAAGTGTACGCAATTTGCGGTCCCTGGGAAATTTGGTGCGGTTTTCAAAAATTCGTCCACTCCAAACTTCCATTTCACTTTAGGACAACTATGCAGATTGAACTCGTCAGGAATAGGTGAGTTCCACATCTTGAAATTCTGTTTGTATAGGATATAGAACTAGGAAGTTAACACTTGCAAAATTCTTCACGCTTTTGGGCGCTGTTCAGCTGTTGAAGATAGAGAACATTTTTTTGTCGCAGTGTTGTTGAACTCTAGTTTGGCAACGCCACTTTCCTCACAAAATTCTTTATAAACCTACACCTTGGAACAACCACGGTTCTGATTACAAATAAGGCGTTTTTGTTGAAGAGAGCGCAGTTTGGTGTCCAACTGGCTCAAAAATAACTAATTACGCGTCATCAACAATGTGCATAAACCTAAATGTTGGGACTGTAGCCGTGATCAGCCTACCTGATAACTCGTTCAGGCGATGCTTTGAGGATGAGATTTGGGTTTTGTGGAAGTCGAAAAATGCCCACTTTTTATCACTATCCATTCTCTCGTAAACTCTTTGGAGCATATTTCTCAGTGCCTTGTTGCTCTATGGAAAAGTGTCATCTGAATTCTCAAATATCAATCTCTTTTACTGTTAGACCTACATGGTCGGATTAAATACTGCAGGTTTCCGAATTAAGAAAGAGATATTGCACCAAGATGTTTGTTTTCTTATAATGTTGGCGTATTTGCTCAGTTGAAGAGTAACCCTCAAATAATCTTATTTTCTCCCATATAAAGGGACATTTCACTATCGAAAGTGGTGGACTTTGAGCTGCAACGACTGACTCGTAGGAGCCACCAGTGGAAAAATTGTGGGCAAAACCGTCGAAGGCGCCCTAAACAAGCCCTATGCTCGGACGGGTATTTGAAGAAACGAGCCACCGCTGCGAGCAAGACACGTCGTGGGTTCGAGATTTCCACTGAGGTCATATTTGGGCGCCAGAGGAAGAGGTCGTATTCACTTTTGTGAAAAATGTTTTCGGTTGTTGACCTTGTTCGTATCGGTTCGTTTTTCCGTTCCTCATGCATTACGGTACAATCCTCCTCTTTCCGCTCGGTGAGAGTTTCTGAGGGTTAAATTGTAGAATTTCTGAAGAAAACTATAGAAAGGGGTGAGAAGGAGGGATTGTGTAAGAGAACGTGAACACAAGGAAACTAAAATGGCGGTTGACCGCAGAATGAGAGGGGACCAGTCCTTGTATCTATAAATAGAAGACACTGTAATATCTCGTCCCTGATGGGAGGAGCAACTTCTAAGAGTGAACTTCATTCGGCTGATGGCGACTGCACAGCGCCCTCGCCATTTATCGTGGAACCGCGAGAGTGGGACAACCCGTGCCCATGAGATTACGGACTTGAGCGCTTGTATAAGGAGAAATTCCTATAAATCAGGTACCGCGAAGTGCGTCTCACTTAAGAACCTCGCTAATTTCCCAATGATCTAGCGACGTCTTACTTCTTTGATATGATTTGGATTTCTTGACGCTAGAATTCGAAAAGCTGAGCTTGTTACTTTTCATTTTGATAGGTCCGTTTATTTTAGCGATGGTGTCGAAGAGTATATGATTATTGAGCTACAAGGTACACTTGATAGCTGTGGTCGATCGCTTGCAAATGAGACTCTGGGTAAGTTGACAGTTTGAAAGTCCCGTTTTGAAGACAATGATGAATGGGCACTGAGAGACCTAATTATTCCGCTTTTGGTCCTTTCATCTTCTATACCCCAAATCCTGAAGATAGGAATGGCATGGCTGCGTACTTTATGTGACAATCTGGGACAATTCCGTTTGGGGTATTGTCATCCCGTCTTTTATTGGACAAGGGCACGATTACTAATGTCCCAGAACATTAATATCCCACCAGAACACCGCGACCACGCTTCAGTGAAGTGCGCGGCCACGTCCACTTCTCTCTGTGATATGGGGTGTGTGTCTGCTCGCATGTTGAATTGGAATTTTCTAGTGATTTCTGGTGCATCTGGAGAATATAAACTCTTTGCAGGTCATCTCACTTGGCGGAAAGATAACTCAGAAGCGTTGTTGCTGATAGGCCATCATCTCCTTGAAGGCAAGGTTTGTCGAGTTGAATGAAATCGTTCGAAGTCTCTACCGTTACCCGCCATGGTGAATTAATGGGGAGTTTCCAGAATATAGCGAAGGAAGGTTGGAAATAGGGCGGGTTTCACAGTAGTTGATCCATCTCGGGGAATGATGATTAGCCACGTTCTGTGGGCAGAACTCACTCTTAGATAAAGCTGTGGTTGTGCGTGGATGAATGACATCTTCCTTCTTCATTGGGAAACCACCAGACAGGGCACGTTCTGGCGATAAAGAAAATTGGCGGCAGAGCACAGTTCGCTCCTTTGTCCACTCAACCGCTGCTTCATGTATAATACCATCAACACGAAAATATGGGATGCAGTTTGGTTAGGGGGGAGGTATTTCGCTGGTTTCCATCAATCTCTGCCGGTGACTCCTGTAGATATCTATTAATTGCTTTGAAGCTGTGTAATCGCCTAGACTTCGTATACATTTAACAAGAGTGTATAGGTCTTAGCAAAGTGAAGCGTATAATTTAGCATGTTAGCGACAGAAACTAGAGAACGTGCGAAATGCCCCCTTTGAGCTGAACAGCGCCAAGCTCAGTTTAGCTCACCTCTTCATCTCCTTTCTACACCAGGATTTAGAAACTCTATTCTTTTGAGATACCCTCTTCTTTTGGTCTCCAGAGCGTCAAATACGGCCCTATCGTTGAGCGCTCTTCAACGGTAATGTTTCTCGGCTAGTTGACCCTGACTTACTAACGGGTGATCATACATACCACCTTATGTCTCCGGTTTCGTTACTATGGGGTGCCATGTCGAATGGAAAACACCAAAAGCAGAGGCTTTTCCCTGCCATGTAGGCTTCCACAGGACTCGCTCCTGATCGGGCCTCGCTTTCGAGTTTTCTTCGCTGGGATGCTTCAGGGGGTGGGTCCGATGCGGCGCCAATCCGTTCTCCACCAATCGCGAAAGCTGGCAGACGAGACGCAAGCCCCCACCCCATTAGTTTTTTTTTTCCACACCTCCCCTGCTGTGGTACTGTTACCCAGGGCCTTGAATGCTGGGTCCTGAGGTATAAAGTGTTAAGAGATAAGTTGGTCGATAGGACAACGGCGAAAGGGATCGAGCCTCAGCTATGCTACGCCAACCTTTTATTAATCGGAGGATGACTGGTTAGCACCTAACTACCTAGGAGGAGCAAAC